GCGTCGCTCTATGATTGAGAGTTCTAGCTATGCTTTTCAATATCTGTGAAAAATTGCGATACAAACGTATAGCAATTAAGTAAATTATAAGGTACCGACAGCAATGATACGTCCAACGATATTAGTAATTCAGTTTCTTATTTTTTACGTTCTTTTCTTGTAGAGTCACCAAACAATCTTTATACATTTTTCACTTACCGTAGACGTGAAAACTGTAGGGCAAGAAGGAATTTTCGTTTCAACGAAATTTCATTTTTTAAAATTTCGTGTTTACCGATCGTGTTTTTATATGCAGACAAGTCCAGATGAACGCATCGGTCACGCAGTGTCGATTTTCACTGTAATCCGGTATACATGACATGTTGTGTATATCTGACACGTTCACCAGAAACGTGCGCCACTTATCCGATCTGTCACATAATTCGAGTTGGCTTTATGACGTTACAACGTCGCGTTCGTCATAAAACCGCGAATCCTCGTAAAGCCGCATCTCCTTCGTCGTGAATTAGACTCGCGTGGCGCGATTTTCTCCGGCGAGTGTCTCCTTTTTATTTTTCTTTTATTTCCCTTCGTCTTTTCTTCGTTTCTTTAGATTTTCATTCTCTACACCGATTCACACCGACATCACCATTCGTTTAGCTGCGCGCACGCTTACAGCGACCGCGACGAAGCCGACGCGATTCGCTCTTCGGCCTCCTACTGCGAGCTTCAAGATCGTGGCACGAATAAAGAAAGCGGATGAACAAAGGACGTGGCGAGAGACCCGATAATCGGTGCATCTCTTCGTGAGAACCGCGAAATTGGTACCGCTGGATTAAGTTCCTCTTTCATTCTATAATCCTTCAAAATTTTTCGTAAGCATTTAAACAAAACTCAAATGCATAACTTAACACATATTTAGTCTTGAGAGATTTATATTTGTTATTTAATTTATATTTACCAAACAAATCACACACAGGCTTGGAAAGATCGTATGGATGCAAAGAAAGAACGTTTTTGCTGAAGTATTTAAAAATTTAGTTATAGACAAAAATCTGAAAATAATTTTATTGGGCCATCAAAATAATTAGGTAAAACTGCTGAAGCATAACAAGTAATGTTACAAAATATTTCGACATTTTAACATCTTGAATCCTACATAATCATTCTGATGATTCAACGAAATTTGTATACTTTATTATATATCACTGTATATCTTTAGATATCTTTTTAAATTGTTTCAACTTTATTAATTATTTTATTTAGATATATATATATTTATAATTTTACCTTCCTGAAATACTTTTTCAATCTTTTCAAGAAAATCATACACGCATATTCAAAAGATTAATTTTTATTTGTTTTATTATGCGTATGACTAGTGCAATAATAATAAATGAATAATAATAAATTAATCTTGTTATTGTACTCGAATTTACGAACATGAAACTATTTACACTCTGCTTTATTACACGTAGACAAATTTAGGCAATTCCGTAAACGGATCAAGCGTAATTCTGCGCGAACAATAATCGGTACAATTATATAGATTAATATTCTATGCGCGATTACACGCAAAATTTCGCGTATATATCCCAATGAAATTGTCAACCGACCAGGATTTATTACTGGCTCGCGCTCTACTCCCTCCTTATCGATACGATATTGTGGATGATCGAGAGGGTGGCAACTGTTGCAATTAAATGCTTAATTGGACCGACATACTGGAACTCCAGTGATTGCCGTCCCGGTACACCTGCTACGGTTGCTGGCTGATTTAATGCTGTGGAAGAATCAACGTTAAGTTTTACAACACTCTTAATGCACCTGTTTTCTCTCTCTCTCTCTCTCTCTCTCTCTCTCTCTCTCTCTCTCTCTCTCCATCGTCTCCATTAGAATATTCATGTTGTCCGAGACGTTCGAGATTAAGCGACCAACTTTTTGCATAATTGTCACTTTAATTGCGCATTATTAATTGACTACCGGAGTCAGTGAAGTGCGACGTCAATTAACCGCGATATCCGTGATATCGACATCGAGAAGAGAGAGCGCATTAAATTAAAATCATAGATACATTATTGTGTGTAACAAGTACGAGTATACGTTGCGAACGATTTTGTTACTTGTGTTTCGTATTCGATCTGAAAGTATTCGTGAAAGTATTCCCCGTGTCCTTTAGGAAGTGTTCGAGATCGAGAATAATGGTGTAGCCTCTATTAGCCTTTCGACGAGGCACCGCAATTCCACGGTGAAAATGAAGCGCTGAAAGGACGGAAACCGCGGCTTTGTTCGGTCCGCGTCGAAGCGTCTAATTATTGCTTCGCTCGCCGCGCCACTCCGTTTCCACGTCCGAGAATGCCTAGCCTCGACGAGAGAGTCGGAGGAGGTAATCTCGTTGCGTGCAATCGCGTGTCGTGTTCGCGGAACGTGAAAACGTGCGAAGAGGGTTTAATTAACTCGATTAAGACGTTAAGCGGCTATTCCACCGGTAACGTGATTCTCCACCGCGAGATCTTTTCGCTTCTGATTCGATACTTGAAGCGTCGCATGCTTTCCGATCAACGCCGTTTCTCTCATCGAAAAGCAGCTTGTTAACGCTTCTCTCGCGTCAACTTGCACAACGCACTACTCGCTCTGATCGTCGTTTACATAAATGTAAATAAAATCATTGATTACGCTGTTTTCATTAAGCGCAATCGTGTTACGTAAAATGTAAGTTCATTTGCGTCGGTGTGCTTCATATTCTTGCACGTGCAAATTATAGGTGATTACCCATAAATCACAATGTCTTTTCACTCGCACAGAACAGCTGGGAGATTATGAGTGAACTAATTATTAACAAAGTCTAATCGAAATTGTGCGAACCAATATTACAAGCCTCCTGCTTCTTACGAAAGGATCACGTGTAATGGCATGCAAATTCCTAAACCTTAATTCTAATCGTTGGCATTGTGCGTCGAGTTGAAAACTTGTGTGCACTCGGTGGCTATATCGTATATCTTGATCCATATCTACTGATCTTTGTATTCTATTTAAATAGGAAGGAAAAATTACGATCGCAAAGAATAACCCCGAGTAGCAAACACAAGCAACTCCAGGTTATGTGAGACAAGATGCACAGATTAATTCCTTTACAATGAATATGCATGGATAGAACAATTTTGCTAAAGTCTTAAAAAATTTCACTAAATACAGATCTGAAAATAACTTTGTAGGGCTATCAAAATAATTACGTAGGATACTAAAGCAATGCTGCGAAAAGTTTTGATATTCTAGCGGCCAGCGTGCATCCTACATAATTATTTCGATCATTTACATTGAGAAAAAAATATGATAAATTTTAATAAATAATTGTTTAAATAGTATTAATATAACATTTGTTTATAAAATAAAATTTGCTATGTAAAAATATATAATAATTAAGTCAAATTAATGTTTATAATATTTAGTTAATATTCAATTGGCACAATTCGAATATTTCTTAAAGTCTAGTACATTTTTCTCTCAGTGTAACAAAACTACTTCCAAATCTATATATAGCTAAATTTTCGCTATAACGTTTATGATGTTTAATCCTCTAATAGCAAGATGGATTTTTTTAGATATCCAGAATAAGCCTGGACCTAATTAACCCGATACTTCGTTTCTAATCTAACCAATGTACAAAATGTGTAAAAGATGTTAAATAATGCGTGCTTACTATCGATGCCCGTTTCTATCAATTTGACATTTTCTACATTGATAGAAATGGATATTGGAGAGTTAAAGTATCACTGGCATTTATCTGAATGGTTCTTCAAGATTTTCCTAACGTTCAAACGGTTGCTGGAATTCGACATCAAGTTTATGCTAATACTTTCAATATAATTCCTTGATACTATTCGCTTTTGACACTCGGAGCATCATCTCACGTACGGCTCTCTGAATTTCAAATGAATAAGAAGAAGAACTCACGAGTGATGTGGCGGTGGATGGAAAGCTACGGCCGCGGCGGCCGCGGCCGCCGCCGCGTGATGCTCCCAAGCCGCGGCCGCTGGATGCGCCGGATGTGGCGGCGGTGGTGGCCCGTGATGCGGATGAAACGGCGGCGGAGGTGCCGAATGGGGGTGCGGATGGAAGGCCGCATGGAAGGCCGAGTGCGAGTGATGCGGCGGTGGCGGCGGCTGCAGCAACGAGAATGCCTCCTGATGATAAGCAACCTCCTTTTCCGGCATCTTGCCGGCGGCCGCCGTCGCTGCGGCGGCTGCTGCTGCTGTTGCTGCTGCCAAAGCCAGCTGTCGCGCCAGAAAATCGCCACCCGTTCCTTCCAGGATCAAGGCAGGTTGGTTAGCGTCCTGGCACCCTGCTTGCGGCACCGATAATACAAACGATGAGCGACAATGGCGGACATAGTCCGTTCTCAGAGAGACCGGTCCGCTTGTCTTTAAAAAAGGGTGATGAATTTGTCACCGCAATTGCTCCTCGTTTGTCCTCGATCGAGATGATCGACTGTGTCTCATGAGTCGCACTTTCTTCACGTTTACAACCTCATTGATAGGGTTTGAATAATGAAAACGCCGTCGTGTCAATAGGCCTGTCGGCACTTCCAAAGAAATCAATCCTATTAAGTTTTCAATGATGTTTCCAACGTTTCTCAAAAACGACCGTATCCCGATATCCTTCTCGATCCTTGAAACGGTTTCCTAGGATCGCTCTCGATTCCGTCTTCGACAGATTTGGTTATGGACAGTTGTTGCCGACGGATTCAAATTATCCAACAGCAAAGACGCGAGACTCCTTTCACTAGTCGCCGAATACGGTGACTCACTGTTCGTTAATCCACGCGGGCCAGTTTCGATCGGTCACTGATTTGATCGAGCGATAACGGGTACCAGGTCACAACGCATATATTATTGTCACACGAACGATCCCGTCGTTCAAACAATACAGATTCATAAAGCGGCGTCAATCACCATCGTCACAATTAATGCGCGACGACTCCCACTGATCGCGCAAGTCGGGAGCACGTTCACCACGATTAAACCGCTTCTGACGGCCGTGTCAGAACGGCCGACGTCCTCACGATCGCATTCCTAAATCACTACCCTCAATGAACGAACGTTGGAGCACCGCGGTCTGATCACTGTCTGCCCAGCAACGAATAACACGCGCGACATTTGATTTTATCCCCTCGATTGGGAGCACTTTGACATTAGGTTTCGCACTGTCCTGTGCCCCCGGAATGCAAACGGTTATCGGCCTTCATTTCAGATGCATGACAGACCGTATCTCCGAGGACGCGAGGGTGACGAGCTGTCTGCTTTGGGAAAGGCACGAATCGAAACGTGCATACGGGCTCTGTCACGGTGCTTGTGCTTTGGCGGGTATGGCGGTACTGAAACTCCTCCACTACCACCACCACCAACACGGTCATCAAGAGGGAGCATGGTCAAGAAGGAGAGAGGTCGGGCGTGTGGCAGTGGCTGTAGTGTGTTCTTGGGTAGGCGTGCGACAGAGAAGCTGCGAAGATTCAGAGAGGAAAATTCGATGTAAGTAAAGGGTGGGGAAAAGAGAATGAGAGGAAAAGAGAAAGAGCGAGTGAGCGAGAAAGTTACGAGAAAGAGGTACGACTTTGTGGGACGATGCGAGATAGAAAGAGAGGCGGATCAGTTCGGGAATGGTGGGAAGAAATCGTAAGGAGAGAGGGAGCTTATAGGATAAAAGTTAAAGGGAGACGACCGACGCGACGATGGTGGAACGAGGAGAGAGAACGCGTGTCAGCTCGACAACTCAACTAGCACCAGCCGTCCCTGACTCCCACCCTCAGCCCTTTCCGTTCTTTCGTCTCGTTCCCGCGGCTACGAAGGGAAACGCGTGGGTGTATTAGAGAAAGACGAGTCATTCTCTCTCTCTCTCTCTCTCTCTCTCTCTCTCTCTCTCTGCTCTCTTCTTTTTTCTCAAATGTCCTTTTATTGTTAGATGAAAGTGGACATCGAGAACTATCGTGAAATCGCACTTTGGCTCTTATTTAGGTTATTCCCAGATGGTATATATATATATACCATATTGTAAGCATTTGGTAGAAATAAACTATATTACGTTGACTTCGAAACTTTGAAAAAGAAATCAGTTCTAATTTGTTTAATCGTGTCCGTTTGATTAAAATTCAGTTCTATGTCTTATAGATTAATATTTTTATTCGAGTTACTTTAACCACATGTTTGATTCTATTTATTTATTTATTAATCTACCGCAATTAATACTCAATCTTCTTGGCGAAAATTATTTTACAACTATAAGTTAAATTTGCACAAATAATTATCACATCCGTGATTTGTTACTACACAGTATGTATATTAAAATACAATTTTCAATTGAAAATGTTTATTTCAACTTGAAAAATTTATCAGAACACTATCGGTGATACGTGTGCAAAACATATGCGTCTGACGCAACTTACCAAAGTGTTCAGCTTCCGGTGACTCCGCCTGAATTTTCACCATATGCCTGGTATCGAGTGTTTTCTTCTTAGCCGGCCTTGTTTTAGAACGGCCGCGCGGATTTCTCAAAATCATAAGGAGGCCGGAAAAAAATTTGGTCACCCGACAACGAGAAGTTCTATAAACCTCGTCCGCCTATTTTGCCTTTCTTCACATTTTCGTCCCTTCGGTTTTGTGTTCCCGCGCAGCACGTGTGAAACAACCGAGAATCTTATGCGAGGGTGCGGCTCGCATCTCATCAGTTCTTATAACAACCCATTTTTTTCCCCGAGATTGATGAGCATACGTCTTGAAAAACCATTTACTACCCTATCTATCTTTATTATGGCGTCAAAAAAGCTTTTTTATACTTATTGTTAGAAGTAGTGCGTAAAGTTTTGACCATCGTGTCTTCTTCTTTGAACATTCAAATTTAACAAGTTTATTCTAATAATACTAATTAAACTCTCTAATATCCAATTCTCATGACACGATGTTATTGAATATTTATAAAGAATATTTATAAAGAAACCAATTATGTGCACAAATAAAAACACTGGACTATAAAATAATTAACGAACATGATGGAGATATTTAATAATGGTGATTATTCGCGAAACATGAAAACAAAGATGGCATTTTCATACCAACCTTGAATGAGATTCCATTACGACACTACGTCTCGATAATCACCGGTGCAAGAGGGATGAAATACATTAGAGAGTCATTAACTAGCCGTCGACTCATGGTTGTCCTCTTCAACCTACTCGTCGTTTGTCTCCCCTCGACACGTCCGTGTAATTCTCCGGCGTGGATCCTCCTCATCAGCCTCGAGCCGCGTTATGTTCGCGTTTGCCGACAAACACCCGTAACTACTCATTATTTTGTTGACTTTGCTGGTCCGCCGTCGTCCTCTCGGCAGCAAAGAGGAGGCGAGATTCCGTTCCGCGAGATCTAATTATCGTCAAACGACCGGCCAATCTACAGTAGGCTTTTAGGTATCGGCTCGGGCTTGCTTGTTCTTGCGAATCAGCGCCACCTTAATCATCCTACTCTCCAACATTGTTGATGGTCCACCGTTCCCTTTATAACAGGCCGAGCGCATAATATTCATCATTTTCTCTGTGGGCTTCATAAATTAATTATTAGAATGATATTTACTTCCGAATATTTACCTTTAAAAATTAGCGGAAACGATTAAATATCTGTTATGAGCCTCGTTTATTTATCTTGGAAGAAATTATAAAATTAGGAAATATTAATGATTATGTCGAGCGGTTAAAACGTTTATCCTTCACAAACGTATACTTACCTTAGAATATCGCGCGACAAGCGTGACTTCCTGTCTCCTCCCTTGCCGTGTCCGATCGATATGTTTTGTCGACTTTTTGAATCGCCGTGGCCGACGTCGCCGGCTATTTAGATGGTAGTGAAGTGAACGGACAAGAAATAGAATTGTCAAGCGAGAGCGCTTTGTACGGCCGGCCCGGAGTGAATGGACCGTGCGGTCGTTAAAATCGACAGAGTGCCGATATGCGAGTGCGGCTACGTCCAATCGATCCGTCTTACAGGACTGCTCCTGAGAGAACATGGCAAAAAGCAGTTACCTCGCTTCATGGTAGTCGTGTTATCCAGTGTAAACAAAAAGGGACGCGTGTTACATGCACTATGCGAGTACAGTCGAACTGGCAACAACGCCACGCTCGTTATGACCAGTGCATAAGAGAATCTTCTTCCGTTTCTTCCTACCTCGGATCTCCTTTCGTATAAAGGAGAACTTCCAGCTCTTTATCTTGCTTTTCATCTTTTTCCATGTCTTGAGTATTACCAACAGCATTACCAGTATTCTTCCATAATACTTGTACTGTTAAAAAATTGTTTGCAAAAGATGGAGATTCTGTGAGTGAGATCGGAATGATCAATGACTGGTGCAACGTACATCGAAAATTTTCGGGTTAAAAATACTACGACATGGAATAACGAAATAAAGTAATAGTATCTCGTGGCATCTCAGTCTCGTTATTCGCATCTCTATTCGCTTGGAAGGAGTCTTAGCAGTAAAATGTTGGGTGATTGTAGAAAGGGAAGACTGGAACCCTTTAGAGAGAAAGCCCCCACGTGGTAGTGGGAGAGTGGGCCGAGCCAATGATGGGACTGCTTATGGGGGACCTCACCGGGTACCTGTTGGTCAGGTGTACCCCACTCTTGCTGCATCTTTTCTCTCATTCTCTCTCTCTCTCTCTCTCTCTCTCTCTCTCTCTCTCTTTCGTCGACATTTCCAATCCTCTCCTTTCTCTTGCTGTCTTATCATTCCGTCTCGCTTATTCCAACCGTAACTTTGTAAAGATTATTTTCCATAATCATTATGAACCTTTCGACACTACCTTTCTGAAGAATTTTCTTTTCAAATCGAAAATTTGACACATTTGTCTTTCGACGGAAATAATTCATATCTTTAAATATATATCCAACATCTCTTTCTGTTTCTATTTACACGAATATTATCGACATTTATTTAAGTGTAATTTAACTATCATAATCATTGTGTACCAAAATATAATGACATATCAAGATGTTAAATGATAAAAGACCGAGAAATGTCGACTACATCGTGTTCGTTCGATTAAACAAAGGTTGTTCGGAAGTTGCTATCTGCTAGAGTCGCAAATAAGGGAAATGGAATGCGTTCCCTGTAAACCACGCGTGCCTTCGGCCTGACTTAACGACAGAAGGCGAAAGCGAGGTAAAGAAGTGGCGGCTTTTACGCGGGAAACGTAACACGAGCGGCCAGGAGGCTGCGATTCGTGACTTCTCAGAAAGCCGATGGAGCCCGTTGCCTCGCAGGTCCGTTTCCAAGCCCCCCGTGGTTCTAGCTCATTAACCAGCACCCACCCTCCATCCCCTCCTACCTCATCATCCTCTTCTGCACGTCGTTGGCGTGACGGCTGATCTCACGAACGGCGTGCGTGCGATGTGTACGTGTGTGTCCGTACGCACTCATCAGGTAAGAAAGAAGCCGCCTGTGCCGACACGCGGGGCGCTAGGCGTTGGGTCAGTTAGTTATCGGGGACGAGGGACGGTTATATAGATAGAAGAAGACAGAGATATTTCGTAGCGAGCATGTGGTGAGATGTTCCGAGTGGAAGAAAGACGGCCAGAGAAACTGACTCGTAGGTGGGGGGTCGCGGGGGAGGGGGAGGGGGGAGGCTTTCTCATTCCTTCGACGCCCCGAGCCAACGAGCGATCCTCTCGTCGCTTCAAACCGGTGTGCGTCCGTCTGACGAGATAATTTGTTCCTCGTTTCCTGGGATTCCATAAGCTGGAGGATTCGATACACAACGGAGGCAGAGCGCGGTGGCGGCACGACGCGGCGGTGGGGCCCGAAAAGGGTCCCCACGAAACGAGCCGTCGATGTACGTTCGCGGTCGGTCGCAATGCGGCGGCGCCTCTTTATTATTACAGGGCCTCGCCGACACTTGGGCGTGGGAAAACGACAGGCGCGTTCCCCTGCCACTTTCAACCACTGTCGAGAGCGGTTCGAATCGAGATATTCAGTTGTCGAACCAAGTAACTATGTGCTGAACATGACGTTCTGCACGCGCTACAGATGACTCGGGGATTCAATGATGATTGAAGTCCATTACCTTCAATGGCGTTTAGGGCGAAGCTTTTTTATGGCCTATCTTACGCAAAATCTGAATGTTCTAAAAAAAATGTCATTGTGTGAAAGAAAATTTATAATTTTATTAGTTCGATTAATTCTTCTACAAACAAACAAATATTCTTAGATGACTACGAGTAAAATAGAGGAGGATCAAGAATGGGTGATGAAGAAAGCGAGTGGCTAACCCCGAGAGGATCAAAGAAGAGGTGGCGTAAGGCAGATTGGTCTGTTCGCCACCCGGGGGCGCCCCAAGGTGGCCGATGCTCGCACGCCGAGTCCAAGAAGAAGATGAAGCGAATAGACCCTCGTTAGAGGAACGAAGAGATGAAGAGAGCCACAGAGTCTGGGAGAAACATGGTGGCCTCGCCTCACGCGAAGACCTCCCGAAGACGGAGTCCGAGAGCCG